CTAGAAACACAACACTTTTTTCTTTTCCCTTTCGAATCCAGGAACAACCCCACACTTTTTTTTCTTTCGAATCCAATAGAAAGAACACTACACTTGTTCTTCTCCTTTAAATCCAGAAATAACAAGCACAACCCCACTCCCCTTAACATTCGAATCCAGTTAAAGAAACACCACACCTATTTCTTTCCTTCTAATCCAAGAGCACCCGGGGAAGCAGCTCAAGGTCCAACACTTACCTTCCAATGTCAAGCAAGGTAAGTCCCCTTAACCTTTTCGTTTTAAATATAACATGTAAATAACATTTGTTCACTTTTATTTCTATACATTCGATTGCATGATTTTTCTTATCCAAGTATACGTTAAAGCTAACCTGTACATACCCTAAAGGAAAGAAACAATCTTATGTGAAACGAAGCCTTAGGCTTCACCCCTGGCTGCTTCACATTCCAAATGAAGGAGAAAGAAGGGAGAAACGAAAGTTGTTCACACTGACTGCCAGGCCAATGAAAGAAGCAACCAGGAAGATGTCCATATTGACTCCCAGGTCTCAATCGAAAGAAGGACAAATGGCATGGTCGAAGCTTACTTGCTCACTCTAACATTCCTGTAATTGAAGGAAGCAGAAAGGCAAAATTGAAGGCTGCATCTCATGCTTCATGCTAATCCCAAATCGAAATGAGCCAAAGAAGCAGAATCGAAGGGTGCATTCTGCCTAGATCGAAAAGCTCATTTTTCCTCCTTTTATTTTGTGTTGTCTTTACATTTTCTTGCTATTCAATATGGTTGTAATAGTGTAGGATATTTATTTTCTACATTTTTATTACTTTTGTACAAATGTTTGTAATTAGGATGTATGGTAAGATAAAACCAACAAGTAGACAACCTAAAATTCAAAGACAAAATGCATGCAATCAAACACACTTTGCACACATGCACCTCTAGGGTAATCTCACTTGTTGCCTTGGAAAAATAGTCACATCCCTCGAATATGGGCATTTTAGCAAAGACCCTCGATAAAAGATTGTAGTCCCTCAATGACCCTCGATGTTCCCTTCAGCAAATGATCTAGTCCCTAAATGAAAATTGCTAAAACGTCTCATAGGTTGCCTTCTATGACTATACAAACGACCCACGCCCGTCCCTTCGTATTCAATAATGGGGCTTCTTACCAAATCAATGGTAGGATATCAACATCTAAAGGAGGAGGAAAATAACATTAGACCTTTTGAGTAGGTAGGATGCTCATAGTTGCTCGCTTGCTCACAACAAAAACATTTTTCCACACCAACACTTTCAATTGAAACATTTTCAAAATACAAAGCTCTTTGTACGCATTCCTATAGAGACGAGAATCATTACAAAGACACTTTTCAAAATCACTTTCAAAAACACATTCCACAAATACTTCTTTGAACTATTTTCAAAACTAACACTTTGTACGCATTCTTATAGAGACGAGAATCATTACAAAGACGTTTTCAAAATATCTTCAAACCCACACCCCAAGCACATTTTCAAATAAAAGCAAGTGATCTAACAAGCAACTAAGAGCCCGTAGATAACTACGGATGAAAAGGGTGCTAACACCTTCCATTTTCATAACCTACCCCCTGAACTCAAGAAATAATCTCGAAAGGTCTTTCCTGTTCTTTTCAGCCTTTCCATATTGGATAAAAGAAAAGTCGGTGGCGACTCTTGCTATCCACAACAATTGCAAACAAACACAAAACCCCTAAGTCAGTTCTCCCACCGTATTACACATCATTTTTCTTTTCAAGATTGTCATCTTCCTCCTCATCAGGTTTCACCGATTTGGGTTAATCAATTCCTTCTTCAGTGTCATTGAGTATGTCTTTTGAATATACATCTACATCATGAAAAAAATACCTTTTCCAACATTTCTCGGATAAGATTCATCAATAGTGACATGTACCGACTCTTCAACAATAAGAAATCTCTTATTATACACTCTACAGGCTTTGCTTGATTGAGAGTATTCAAGAAAGATACCTTCATCAGCTTTTGGTCAAATTTCCCAAGGTTTCCTTACCATTGTTCAAAAAAGAATATTTGCATCCGAAAATATGAAGATGTGATAAATTTGGTTTTCTACCTTTTACAAGTTCATATGGTGTTTTGTTTAAGATATGACGTATAAGTATCCTATTTAAAACATAACAATTTGTGCCAATAGCATTGGTCCAAAAATACTTAGGTAGACAACTATCATTGAGCATAGTTCTTTCCAACTCCTCTAAAATATGGTTTTTGCGCCCCACAACACCATTTTGTTATGAAGTCTGTAATACGGTGGGAGAACTGACTTGGTTTGTTTTGCGTTTTATTGCAAATGTTGCAGATAGCAAGAGTCGCCACCGACTTTTCTTTTATCCAATAAGAAAATGTGAAAAGAACAGGAAAGACCTTTGATAGATTTTGAGTTTGGGGGGTAACTTATGAAAAGGGAAGTTGTTAACACCCTTTTCATCCGTAGTTATCTACGGGCTCTTAGTCGCTTGCTCACTTTATTTATTTTGTATGTGTGTGCTTTGAAAAAGTTTTAAAATGCCAAATAGCAAGGCAGTTTGCTTGATGATAACTCTTGTATCAGTCCTCAAGAGTGTTGATAAAGCATTTTGAAAATATTTTTGAAAGTGTGAGGTGTGAAAAAGTGTTTTAAGTTGTGAGTAAGCAATTAACAGTAACTACCCACTCTAGTTAGCAGGAAGCCTTATCTTTGGATGTTCGAGGGACAGACATAGGATCGTCGTTATGGTCATTGAAGGCAACATGTAGGGATACCTTTAGCAATTTGAAGGGACTGTCATCATATATATTTGTAGGCAACATCGAGGGAAAAGATCATGCACTGTAGGCAACTTCGAGGGACATCGAGAGACCATGATCTTTATGATGATTTATAATTGAGGATCTTTGCTAATGATATCCCTATGTTCGAGGGACATGACCATTGTTTTTCCGAGACAATGAGAGAGGTTACCCTAGAGGTGAAGTATACAAAGTGTGCTTGATTCAATTCATTTATCTTGTAATTAGGATTAGCTAATTATTTATTTTATGTCTTGCCATACAATCCTATTAATCTAAGCATTAACAGTAATAATAAAACAGTAAAGAAATACCCTACGCTATTACATCGCTTTGAGAAGGGATACAAAACCACAAAATTGGGGGAAAATAGCAAGCGAATAAAATCCTAATTTAAGCTATTACATTCCTTTAGCAATTACAATAATCGGAAAAAATAATAAAATACGCGACAGTAATAACATACGCGAAATTATAAAAGGAAAAGAAAAGAGAAAATTTGTTTTGATTGTTTGATAAAAAAAAGTTTGATGATTAACCTAAAACCTAGTTAATTTTAATTAATAGAAAAAGTTAGGTAATTAATTTAAATAAAACCCTAAAATCTAAGTTGATTTTATTAAAAACCTAAAATTAAATTAAAACCTAAAATTAAATTAAAACCTAAAATTAATTATTTGATTTTATTATGAAAAATCAAAGGTTTGTGAAAAATGTTAGATTTTATGAAAAAAAATTTAAACAAAAGAAAGAAAATAGGTAAAATGATAAATAGAATGGAAAAAAACCAAAACCAGTAGGGGTGGATGTTGAATCCACACCGTTCTAGCCTATAAATGTTATGATCTGGCCTCAGTATGTTTTGTAATAAACCTGAACAAACCAAACACGGAGATACCAGTTAAAGAAGATAACCTAGAAGGTGTGTTGGACCAGGAAATGTATAATCCAAAAAAGGAAGAAGATTGACGAAATGGGTGTTGATAAAGTTTAAAGAAGAAAATCGAAGTGTGTAAAAGTAAAGGAAACTTACCGTTTATATAATGGGCGAAAGAGTTTTGAAATTCCAAGTGATGCTTGTATAAAGAAGTGAGACGAATCAATCAAATGCTCAGAATGTAAGGAAATTGAGAGCCAAGCAAGCAATATTTATATTTTACTTCAGAAATACAACGACACTTGAGTATCTTAGAAAGAAACGTCACTCTCTAATTTAAAAACCAAGGGTCATGTGTCAAATAGATCATGCAAAACATCTTAATAATGTGACTCATCTTTAATGCCTATGCCGAATGATTTATCTTTTCCACTTCTCTAAGCAACGACTCCAACGTAGAGAACCTAACCAAATTTTCTAAAAGAGTTCTAACTACCACACCACAAGAAATCTTGAAACAATTGTTCTAAGCCGTGAAAAGACCTAATAAGAAAAATCCACATTCCATCTAAATCTACGGTACTCAAACCAACTCATTCAACTTGAATGAAAAATTATGATTGAAATCCATAATTATTCTCACATCACTTTGATTCTCTTACTAATTTAAAATATTAATCCTGTAAATCATATCGAAAACTTACTCCAGCGTATAATGTTCTGTTTCATCATTCGCCGATCTTAAAAAAAAGAACAATTAATATTAAAGACTTTTTGAAGTGTTGTTTTTAAAAACACCAAACTTATATGACACATAGTTGAAGTAGAATTTGATTTGTCCACCGACAAATGTGTTAGATTTGGTTTCCGGCAAGTATTAGTAGGACTACTAGGCATAGCACTAAGGCACTAACATGATAATAGTCCCATTTAAAGTTAATGATCTCACAAGAGGCCGCATGGGTTGTTTACAATCATGGCGCGTGGCTTTTTCTTCATTCTCATCACCGCCACCTAATAATTGTATGGAATCTGTACTACCTGCTTAAACTCTCAACATTCTCCAAAACCCTTGTCTCCCTCTCTCTTACTACGACAAGCTGCAATGCTTTTTCATACCCTATTACTATTACAATGATAGATTCTTCCATTCCAACCAACAACCAGATCAGGTACTCTTTCTCTCTTGTTTAATTATGTTAGTATCGAATGAACTTGTGTTCTTTTTCAGTGTTTTAGTTCATATCCATTTCTAAATATGCAGGTGAAAACAAACATCATCCAAGTGGCGAGCATGGAGCAACGAAGGCGTTGCCACGATGTGTTCTGGTTAGGATTATTTGTGATCCAATTAATTGGTATGGGTTTTGTCCTTGTCATTTTAGGCGTTAACAGATTCAAGAAAAAGAACCGCCTTGACATTGACAAGTACACATACCGCTTCATGGAAAATCAAGCTGGTCTCACAGAGGATTACTGGCCACTCTATGCTGTTGCCGGCGGTGTTGGGACTGCTCTTGGATGGAGTTGGTTGTTGTTGTTGGGTTCGCGTGCTATCCAGATGATGAAGGTGTCTGTCCACATTCTTACCACTTATCTTGCTGTCGTCAGTGTTTTGTGTTTTTGGGCTCACCAGTTTTTCTGGGGTGTTGCTTTTGCTATTGGAGCAGCTCTGCACTTTTTGTATATTATTTCTGTCATAGATAGGTATGTAGCTAGCTTTCCTTTCCTTTCCATTCATTTCATCATGGATTGCATCTTGTTGCTGATTGCCTGCTTCGATGTTGCTTGCTTGCTCTATTCCTTTTCACATTTTAAGGGTTGGTAAAGTTAATATTTGAAGCTGCCACAGGTCTTGTTTCGATAATGCCTCAATTATGAGAATCATACTTAGCAATTCCATTACTGTGAGGACCTAGCTCATTTTCTGCCGTTCAAGTTAGCTAAAGGAATGTAATAATGTACTCAGATATAAATTTGGATGTCTGACTAAACTAGTCTATGATAATAACTTTAATCTCTCCCTTCCACGAAATGAATATAAATAAGCAGCTGTTTTCTTTCTGAAGAATTTTTCGCAACATGGTTGCTTTCAATTATTGGCAAATAGATTTTGCAATTTTCTATGTTTTGGAAGCTATTTGTCGTTTTTCTTATTATTAAAGTATAATTTCTTCATTTCCTTTGATTTGCTCTCTATACAGTTCTTTTAAGTCATTAAGTTGATTTCTGGTGTCTGGCTTTCTTTTTTGCTATCTCCAGACTTCCATTTACAATGTTGGTATTACAAAAGGCTGTGAAAATGGTATGGAATCTTCCTGAGGTTTTGAGAGTAGCATACGCGACTATGGCTTTGGTGCTTTTATGGATGGCCTTATGGTCATTTGGAGCTGCTGGTGTTGTAGCTTCAAGCATGGGTGACGGTGGACGCTGGTGGCTTCTTGGGGTGAGCTGGCAAGTTTTGCTCTTTCATTCTGTCTATTCTTGTTGGACTCGCTGGTTATTTCGGATGCAGATTGTGTAAGCTTATCTCAACGTTTATTGCTATTATGCATGCATGCAGGTCCTCTCCGTAAGCTTATTTTGGACAGGTGCTGTGCTTTGTAATACTTTACATGTCATAGTGTCTGGGACACTGGTTCGTGTTACTATCCATGGTAGTTGCGAGGCTGCACCAACTGCCACCAATTCTATCATGAAATCTTTACAGTATGCTTTGACAACATCTTTTGGCAGCATTTGTTATGGCTCGTTATTCACAGCTGCTATTAGGACACTGCGTTGGGAGGTATCACAACTACCATTTTTTTTGTGTGAATTATTTGAAGTTCATTTCCTTTACATGTTCATCTCTCCTGTACACTCAACAAATTTTTTAATTGTTTCAGATAAGAGGAATCCGGTCAAAGATAGGAAGCAATGAGTGTTTGCTTTGCTGTGTTGATTTCCTTTTCCATCTTGTGGAGACTCTTGTTCGATTCTTCAACAAGTATGCTTATGTCCAGGTAGCCTATTGTGTCTATATAAGTAAGCACTTCGATTTACGATAATCATAGAAATTGAATCTCATCAATAAAGATTAAAATATGAAAAACCAAGTAATTGGGCACAAGTGGTTAATGAGCTACCCCTAGGACGAATCGTTCGGGAGAACCCGAGTTCAGTTGCTGGTGGAAACAATTCTTGGCCAGACTTTACTTACCTCGCAACCGAACTCCGGGTGATCATTTACTTTAGTTCTAGTACTTGTTATTAATTTGTTTATAAACACAAACAAGGTATCAAAATGTTATGGTCTGGGAAATTGAAATAAAAAACTTTAGCATTGTTTTATGATAATGTCCCTTTCAGATTGGTGTTTATGGTAAAAGCTTTAACCATTCTGCTAGAGATGCGTGGGAGTTATTTCAATCAACTGGAGTTGAAGCACTTGTGGCTTATGATTGTTCCGGTGCTGTTCTGTTAATGGGGACCATATTGGGTGGGCTGATAACTGGAACGTGTTCTGGTGTTTGGGCATGGATCAAATGGAGTGACAGAGCTTTTATGATTGGATCTACATCTATGCTCATGGGGATGGTATTGGTAAGTTATCAACCTCCTCGATTTTTTCGTAATTCTGATAATGTGTAACATAACGTGTCATGTTTATCAGTCATGAGATTGGCTCATATCAAGCGAGGTTAGATGAAATAGTGAGATAATATGGCCATTAATTGATAGCAATGATTAAAATTTTAATAATAGATAGAGTGACTAAGTATTTACAAGGTAACAAGATTTTATACAATCATATCTTACACAAATGCAACTTTATTATATTAATTCGTAAAACCTCTACAATATCTTTATTGGTGAGATAATGATTTGATGTATGTAAAACATTTTTTATTGTCAGTAAATAGTATTTAAACTCTAATGCGCGCGCTCACACTTTTTTTTTAAACTCTAACTTTCCCCCTCTATCGAAGTCTTGATATATTACTTTTGAGAAGCCAAACCCAGCGTGCCATATATACTGATATACATATCTGATCTCAGGGTCATTTCCATTAATAACATAACTTAATTAATGGTAGCATGTAATATCCATAATAAGTATGCATTATATATATATACATATATATATCTTGGTTTTATATGAGGATCATTCAAATTCCTATTGCTGAATATGTGCATCTGTTCACATGCCATGCAATATGAATTTTCAGGTTGGAGTGGCAATGGTTGTGGTGGAAAGTGCAGTGACATCCATATATATCTGTTATGCTGAAGACCCCTTATTGATTCAGAGATGGGACAATGACTTTTTCAACCAGATTTCTGAGACACTGCACCAGCGACTTCAACATAGGAGTTCACGTGCAAGGGAGGTTTTAACACACAGTCATCTTGATGCGCGTATGCTAGAGAACACCCAAATATGAGGAATCACTAAATAGTATTGAACAAGAACAGAAGAACTGTTTATTTAAATTGTCAACTACACATATGTCAACCCTTTTACATCTTTTTTAGTTTAATTTTGTGCTGTGTTAGTGTGTGTAACTTTCACATTACAACAAGTTCAACGTAATTGGCGAAGAGAATGTATTTGATGTTGAGGTATTAGTTTGAGCACCTATGCTAGGTGAGCATTTACAAGGGGAGGAGATTCTCTCCCGTTTTTCTCTCAATTTTTTCTCCAGTATAAACTTGACCATTGATTGAAAAGAGATTAAAAGACAAATATTAAAAACAAAAAACTGAAATGTCAGTAAAATACACATCAGAGACAATCCTAATCTGTTTACAAGTTACAAAGGTGCATAAAACATGTCATTAAAAAAGATATTAACAGAAAAACTGACAATCCTAATCCATTTACAAGTTTCAAAGGTGCATAAAATATGTCAATAAGAAGAGATATTAACAGAATAACTGCTGGCCGGGACCATCCTTATTGATTTATTAATACTCTCATCCTACAAATTCAGTTCAGATTCTCTTCATTTCTCATAAGAAATTGATGTATAGATATACATATTATTGAAATTTCCCAAAAGAAATGGAGAGTATAATTATTATAATATTGATAATGGAGAGTATAATTATTATAATATTGATGTATAGATATACATATTATTGAAATTTCCCAAAAGAAATGGAGAGTATAATTATTATAATATTGATGTATAGATATACATATTATTGAAATTTGTGACATATTTTTACATAATATGTATATTTATACATTAATATTATAATAATTGTGCTCTCCATTTCTTTTGAGGTGTATAAGATTAAAGATGAAAAATAAAGAAAGATGGAAGAAGAAAGAGAAAAAAGGTTACAACAAATTTGTTGAAAAATATTTGTTTAAATATACAAAATAAACTGTCATGTAGGCCTTAACAAAAGACTATGCTTAATAGCTAAGTTTACAAAACAAACTAGGACTCCATAAGCTAAACATGCTTCTGGAACGCAATCTCATAAGCTTCTGCTTCTGACTAACACAAATACTTCTGAATATGAATTACGTCTAACATCATCCCTTAATTCATATTCAGCTAACTAAATTCTACAACACCAATTTCATTCCTCAAACGAATAAAGTGTTCAACCTTGATAGCTTTCATCAAAACATCTGCAAGTTGCTTGGGTGCTACACTGTGCAACTTCTAACACTCTATTCCGAATTTGACTTCTCAGAAAATAGAACTTCGTCTCAATGTGCTTGCTTCTTCCATGCTGCACTAGATTCTTAGCAAGGCTTATTGTGAGAACAAAGTTTATTCTACATCTGGCCTTATGTTTTGATGATAACATTACATGTTATCTTTAAGAACAATTGTATGCTTTAATAGGTTTATATCTAGTGTGTGGCTTTTGTCATATAAATTCTGACTCTGGTAAGAAGGTATGAGACGTCATCAGGTTCTGAACTCAACACTCGGAAGAATACTTTTGGTGTGTTACAAGTTAAGTCAAGATAAATGAATGTGTCTTCTACAACTGTTCTAAGGAACGTTAGTAAAAGAGCTTATGATCGTGACTTATTCAAGGAAGCTTTGAAGGCCTTATAAAGCTTTACTTCTGTTGTTCCAAGTTCTGAAGATGTTGAAGACAAAGGTTCTACTGAACGAAGTTGTGATGTTCTGAAGACATTCTTCTGATGACCAAATGCTGAAGAACTAACTAAGGCAAGAGTTCTCTGAACAAGTCCTGAAAGATTCTAATGACTTAGGTTCTGGAAGATATTAGTTCTAGTTCTTCTACAATATTCTTCATTAACAATTATATCAGAAGCCTCTAAAGACTTAGAAGACGAAGATTAAGACTAAAGGGATTGCATGTGATGGTGAGTAAAAAATTACAAAAGTACACAGTGACCTCTACTCTCTAGAGTGGCGCAAGGACAAACCATTTTGTACTATTTTTTATCAATCTCATTATGACCTTTGTGAACAATACAAATGTATTTATATTTTCTATTCTAGCCTCTAATGGATCGCTTTTTTTCATCTATAAAAGAAGTATTTGGAAGAATTTGAAATCAACGAATCAGTTCAACAAATCTATACTAAACTGCTGCACCAAAACTTTGTAGAGAAAACTCTTTTTGTATAGTTTTGTAAATAAGCAAGGAGTTGTTGCTCGTATCTTCCTATCAACACTTTTGTGTTTTTGTACTTAAATATTGTGTAATCTGCTTGTGTAGAAGCATTTCTGTATACACATCTTTGTAATCAACTATTGATAAATTCCTTGAGTGAATGAGTGAAGGTCTGAAGACTCAAGACGACTCTGGTTGCGGTCATAGTGGTTTGCAATAAGGATCAACAAACTTATTGGAGGTTTTAATAGGATTGATCGAACTTATTGTGGTTGTCTGTAATATGGTTGATTATAGTGGATTAAGTCCTTATGTATAAGGAAATCACCTTGCAGGGTGGACTAAAGTAACTTAGTTAACAATGAATTAGGATAAAAAATAATTGTATTCATCTATTTTTATTCACTTGTTATCTTTGTGTTTTGAGTTGCAAAAAGATTATATTTGGTGTAACCCAATTCAAACCTCCCTTTCTTGTGTTTCTCGCACCTTCTATTGGCATCAGAGCTCCAGTTCTGGTATTGATATATATCAAACACTTAACTATGTCAGATAAAGATTCAGACGAGTTTTAGAAACACTATGGTTGATCCTGCTCCACCACCACCTGCTCCAGCTCTTATAAAGATAACTACAATGCTAAACCTCTCATTTTTTTAGTAAAAAGTTTGACTACTGGAAAGATAGACTAGAAATTTTCTTTCTAGATCATGATGTTGATCTTTGGAATATATTAATAGATGGATGAACATTCTACATATGAGAATGGAAAGCAGATTGAAAAAAAAGCTATTACAGATCAACAAAAGGAAAATTGTAAGAATCATCAAAAAGCAAGAACCATCTTACTAAATGATATTTCTTACACTGAGTATGAGAAGATCACAAATAGACTCAGCTAAGTCTATATTTGACTCTCTCAAAATGACTCATGAAGGAAATGATCAAGTCAACGAAACCAAGGCTCTGGCCTTGATTCAGAAGTATGAAGCATTCAAGATGGAAGATGATGAAACAATTGAGATGATGTTCTCAAGACTTCAAATCTTAGTTGCAGGACTGAGAGTTCTGAACAAAGGATACTCAACAACAGATCACGTGAAGAAGATTATCAGAAGCTTTCCATCCAAACAAAGGCATATGGTAACTGCGTTGAAGCTTGTAAAGGATCTGAACAACACTTCTCTAAAAGAACTGGTGAGTTCTATAAGAAGTCATGAGATTGAACTAGATCAAGGTTGAACCTCAGAAAAGAGGGAAATGTAACGCGCTCAAATCTCTCAGAAAATATGAGAAGTCCAAAGCTTTTAAAGTCGAAGAGATTAATGATTTGAAAGAATATTATGATGAAGAAGAAGACGAGTTGTCTCTACTGTCTAGAAGGGTTAATCGTCTTTGGAAGAAGAATCAAGGCAACATGTTTAGAAGTACTAGAAGGATATGAGGTTGCTTCGATTCTACTTCTGATCAGAGAAAGCCTAGTGGCAAAGAAGTCACTTGTTATGAGTGCAACGAGCCAGGACACTACAAGAATGTTTGTCCTGAACTGCAGAAGGACAAGTCCAAGAAGAAATCTCCCAAAAGCAAGAATAAATGGATGATGGCAACCTGGGATGATTCTGACTCTTTAGAAGACGACTCAGAAGAAGAACGTGCTAACGTGGCACTAATGGCTCAAGCTAAAATTTCTGTTAAAAGGATCCCTCCAGAATATGAAGTAGAATCAGATTCACACACAAAAGATATATTCTCCAAAGAGGTATTTTCTGACCTTACTCATTCTGAATTAACTTTCTCTTTAGTTGAAATTCTTGAAAAACATGATTTACTCAAGATTGAACTCAAGGAACTTAAAAAGTTCCAAGAATCCACATCTTCTAAAAACAATAAGCTTAAGGAAGATCTCTCCATTTTAAATGAAGAAATTTTCTTTCTCAAAGACGAGAACTATGCCTTCAAAGGCACAAGAACTCTTCCAGAAGCCTCTGAGAGTACTGATGATGTCATCATGAAAAATGACAAAGCTTTTCTTAGCCAGAAGCATATGGAGAAGAACGTTGGATTCTATGATCTATGACATTAGTAGAAATGGAATCAATGGTATTGGTTATAACTCATTGACAAATCTAATTCTAATAAGGAAAACAAACCTAATACTCTTCATTCCTATTTTGTCTCAGCTGGGTTTGTGCCTAAAGAAAAAGTGGAATGTGCTTCTAAACCTAAGGCAAAATCTGTGACTAAATCATCTAGGTTTAATTCTTGCAAATATGATTATTCTGCTGTTAAACCCAAAATTGTAAAAAACTCTGGGGGAACAAATAAGAGAGGACCCAAGAAACTACGGGTACCCAAAAATCAAATTATCTATGTTACAAATATTTTTAGCAGCACAATTAAAACACCTGTTATAGTACCTAGACTCTGGCTGCTTGCAACACATGGAGATAAGAAGGAACATGTTCCTAAAACATGGAATCTAAACATGGAAACTTTAGGAAATTAAAGCTACTGAAGGAAAGATGATGATGACAGGATTTTTCTCAACATTTAGTTCTTCTTATCATCATATGACTTTCTAAGGTACGTATCATTCTTGGTAATAACTTTTGAAATGTTATACTTCATTCAAATGAAGCCCTCACTTATCGAAAGTACTTTGTTTAGAATATTCTCATAAGAATATCTTTGTCTGTTATTTTTAAAAAGGATCACTACATTAAATAAGTTGGCAAAAAATGGCTAATGATTCATCTTAAGACATTTGTCCTCTTTGAAACATGTCTAGCATTTAATACAACGCTTTGTGTATTGAGATTATCTTGAGAT